GCTGACTCGACTGACCGACGCTGTTGCCCCTGCAGCTTTTCAGCTTTTCAGCTGCTGTTGCCCCTGTTGCCCCTGTTGGCCCTGTTGGCCCTGTTGCCCATGGCCAAAGGCCCTCGGCCTTGGACCGCGGACCAGAGGCGCTAGCACTGCTACGGTGGTGGAGAAATGCGATGCGCCTTCGAGCTTTGAGTGCGCGGAGCAGCAGAAGCCGCAAAGATGTGATTTGGCATGGAAACAATCAAGGTATGCGCGCTCCTAGCACCCATGCTTCTGCGCACACGGCGCCGGTCGGGGTCTTTCCTTCAAGGTGTCAACTGTTGGCATGGAGTCGAACCGGATATCATTGGTGAGGTGCGTCAAAAGGTTTGTTTTTGTTTTAAAATGAACCTGGGCCCATTGTCAAGTCACATGAATTTAGAATGATTCAGATGGATGCAAAGATGGGTTTGACAGCAGGCAACTTGCTCGCCCTGTCGACTTCGGAGACATTGAGATGCAGGTTCCAACCAGCAACCCCATGGTCCACTTGGAAGAAATGGGTGTCAACTGAAAGAGGTTCGTGTTAGAGACAGGAAAACCGTGTGCTTTGCTACTTGACAAGTGGGGATTCTCAAGCCCCTAGCCCTTTGGGCATGCGTCCGGCATTCCAATTCGCCGCCCGCTTGGGTATGTGAAGTTCTCAGCAATCGGCTCTCATGTAGCGCGCTCACTTCGCTTAAAGTCGCCCTCATGCGGAAAAGAAGAGAAGAAGTCGACTTCGTAAAGAGAAGAAGTCGAAGTCAGAGAGAGGATTTTCGTGTCCGGATTTCACCTAGGTCTACACTCGTGGAACCCTTTGAGCCGCTATGTCACTTGCTAAGCCATATTTCAAATTGCAGTTGCCCTTGCGCCAGATTTTCTCACAAGCAACCCCTGCGACTCGACTTATGGCTCAGCTTAGAGCGACTCTTTTTGTGCCCTTGCTTCTGGCTGCTCTCATGGCTGGGACAATCCAGTGCAAAGATGGGCGGATCACCGTCTTCAACAACCAAGGTGCCCTGGGCAAGTTTGGGTGGAAGCTAGACCATGAAAAGGATACCGCTATGAAGTTCTTTGCAAAACATGACAGAGCAGAATGCTTGAGGGCAGAAGCTTCCTTGTAGGTTGTGAAAACTGAGCAACCGGGTGTCTGTCCACCAATTTTTTCCTGTTGGCAAGGCGCTCTGGTGCTCGTGGACGGCGTGTCGCAGTACCTGCACCCCGCTTCGGGCACGAAGACGCCGGGGGTGCTGCCGCTGTGCCTGCGAGTCCCAGCGCCAGCCTCCAGGCATGAGGCCGGACGGGAACAGGCCTGGGAGTTTGGGATGGGCGTTTTGCGTTTTCCGGGCGCTCCAAGTTGACTTGCCATAGACACCTGGAGACTCCTAGAGACATGTGGGGACACGTCACCAGGTGGATCTGGGTGCCTGGGCATGCACCTCCGCGCAGCAGGCATGGCTGGCTGCGGCGCGCTGCAAGTTGTGGTGGATGACCCCGGAGTGGGGCAGCTTCAGTGACCCTATCCCGACGGAGACGCAGATGCTTTTGGTGCGTTTGGCCATGGAGCCGGAGGAGCAAGGCACATACGTCTTCATTCTGCCCTTGGTGACAGAGCATTTCCGGTCGAGCCTCTCCCCGAAAGGCAGCGCCATCATGTTTGCCGCAGAGACGGGTGATGTGGAAACGCAGGCATCTGAGGTGGATCCGGCCTTGCTGCTGGTGGCAGGAGTTGATCCCTTTGAGACGATCCACCGCGGATTCGCCGCTGCCGCAGAGTTGCCGGGCGTGAACTTCACCTTGCGTGGGCAGAAGCAAGTGCCCGCGAGCTTGCGGCTCTTTGGGTGGTGCACCTGGGACGCCTTCATGAATTTGGCGGAGTACCGGAGCAACGTGACGCCGGAAGGCATCATCCAGGGTGTGAAGGGCTTTGCCGCGGGAGGCGTTCCAGCACGGCGCATCATCATTGACGACGGCTGGCAAACCACCGGGGTCGATGCTCAGACAGAGCGTGAAGTGATCTTGGACCGCACCACTTGTTCAGCTTGCGCAGGCTTCAAGACGGTCAGCGGAACCGAGGCAGAGATTTTGAGCAACAAGCCGTGCACGGAGTCTCCTCATCCCATTCCTCGCCCAAGTGGACTGGCCCATGTCCTCTTTGAGAGGCTCTCGGCCATAGAGGGGGCCAGGACTGGGCGTTTGGCGTGCTACCAAGGGTTGACTCAATGCTTGCCGATGTATCGCAAGACGGTTGCACAGGGCCCAGGGCAAGCGCCTGCGCTCGTCCAACCGAGCCTTCGAGCGTCCGGAGGGCAGCATGAAGGGCCTGGTGGCGCAGCTCAAGGAGGTGCGGAGCGTCTGCTGGCACCATTTGCTGGGGTGGTGCGGTTTGGAGCCACTCTCCGATCATTTTAACATGGACCTTCGGTGCAAAGAGGTTTTCTTCGCCAAGGGCATTTCGGGCGTGGAGCCCTCAATGGAGTTCAGCACCTTCAAGACGATGCAGCTGGGCATGCCAGGCGAGCATGGCGAACATGGTGCCGTGAAGCTCTATGATGGCCTCCACGGCTTCTTGCAGGATGCAGGGGTCGACGGTGTGAAGGTCCTTTCACAGGTCCAGGGACAGGGCGGTGGTCCTGCCGTTTCTCGCAAGTACATCTCAGCATTGGAGGCATCTGCCCAGAAGCACTTCGGCTCCGCTTCGGAGGTTATCACCTGCATGCCAATGATGCGTTATTCAACTATAAGCAGGCTGCCTACTGCCGAGTCAGCGACGACTTCTTCCCAGATGATGCAGCGTCACAAGCATGCCACATTTGTTCATGCGCCTTCAACGGCCTGTTTCTGTCTGAGCTCTTCATTGGTGATTGGGACATGTTCCACAGCAAGCACCCATCTGGTGAGATGCACGCAGCAGTCCGAGCAATCTCTGGCGGTCCAATCTACGTGTCGGATCGCCCCGGTGAGCATGACTTTGAGCTACTGAAGCAACTGGCCGCACCGGACGGGGAGCTTCTACTGTCTGATGGCCCCGCTCGACCTACCCGGGATTGCCTGTTCCGCGATCCACAGAAGGACCAGAAGACAGTGCTGAAGATCTTCAACACCAACTGCGCCGGGAAGCTGGGTGTCTTGGGCTTGTTCAACATCCAAGGCTCCTCCTGGGATCGCTCGCGCAGGCGCTTCGCCATGCTCCACAGGGAGGCTCCGTTGCACGCCTGGGCTCGTCCCCGGGACGTGGAGGCGTTTCGCTCCGAGAGGAAGTCAGAGAGGACCGCCGAGAGGCCCACCGGCGAGTTTGCCGCTTTTCAGCGATCCAAGTCGGAGATTCTGCTGCTTCCGGACGGATACCACAGCATCCCGGTGGAGTTGGGGGGGGGGGGGGCTCCCAGCGTTTCGAGGTGATCAATTTCAGCCCTGTCTGGCGGATCCCGCACGGAGCGCGGTTCGCGGCCATTGGTTTGCAGGACATGATGAATCCTGAAGGAGCTGTGAAGGACATGCGGGCTTTGCAGCGGGCTGTGGAGGTGGTGGGACGAGGGAGCGGGCACTTCGCCTTCTATGCAGACCCTCAGCCCCGCTGCATTTTGTCCGAAGCACCACCGGCTGACGCAATGGCGCCGTCCGAATTGATGGTGAGGACTTGCGAAGAGAGCCACTTGGAGAACGGCCACAAGCGTGCCATGAACCATCTCACCTCGGCACCCCTTCGCGCTGTCGTTCCGGAGAACTGGGCAACAGTGTCTTGGGCACTTCTCTTCGAGTGGTAAGGCCTAAGAGCTGCAAAGAGATGCAAAGGGAGACCCGTTAGTTGCGTTTGTACAGGCTTGGAATTTTGGACTTCACGCAAGAGCCGTTGTTGCCCCCACATCAGCTAGTTAGTCTAGCTGTTTGGTCAAATGGCTTGCATACCTTGCATGCCAATGTTGGCAGAATTGCCTGGAACAGACAGGCCGTTGGTGCCACACAGACCAAACATCTCTTTGTCCGCTTGCGAAAAGCTCTGCGTCCTGACGGTGCCGGATTGAGGCAATTTCGGTCGATACGTCTGTTCGAGGATTTGCTTTGACCACGGCACAATCGGCGTTGCTGCTCAGGCCATGGATGCTTGCAACCGACTCAGCTAGAGGCGCAACGTCAAGACACAATGTCAGTGACTTTCAGTGGCCACCATCCCATGCTTCAAACGGCAAGTTGGCAAAGTACATTTGTGGCCCTGTGCTACTTGTGCTCAACTTCTCACCGAGTCCAGGCCTCTGGCAGGAGGGGTGGGGCCCACGTATCGTAATCCTGAGCCGTTGCGGTAGGCCGATCTCCCACATTCGTCCAGAACGTGCGATTTTGACCTGAAGGGCGACCCGAGCGCCGGTCCGTTGAGGATTGGGGTCACGAGAGAGGAGCAAAGAATGGCAGACGAGAGTTTTGCGTGTTTGGACAGGTTCAAATGTTCAGATCGCCTGCTTTTCGTGACCAATAACTATTTGGGATGCAACTCAAATCCCGGTGCCCTTGTAATCTGCCATGTGGTTTAAATTAAGTTTTGTTGGTCTCACCGTCTTACCTGGCACGAACAGGTAGACCTCGCTGCGGAAAAGGGAGGTAGAGCCATCTTTCAATAGCGTTCCAGCTGCATGTCAGTGAGGCAACGGTCAGTCAGGTTTCTGCGTGATCCCTTGTGGATCACATGCGGCTCAGAGACTTGAGCAACATGCCTTGCATGCCTTGCATGCCTTGCATGCCTTGCATGCCTTGCATGCCTTGCATGCCTTGCATGCCTTGCATGCCTTGGCTCCCATGTCAAGCTTCCCTCCGCATGTTTAACCCGAGGAACCTGAATTGCAGCATTGCGGAGCGTAGGGTGTAGTCAGCGTAAGAAGTAAGATGGCAGTGAACCCCGCTTGAGCCTTTTCAAACGGAAAGATCCATGGCAAACCAAGCGAGTGGAGAGAGTGGAGAGGCGGGTGCCCATTGCGTTGCGGCCGCTGTCACGCGCCAAGATTGGCAGGAGAAGGAGAAGGTGGAGAGGCGCGTTGGGCGCGGGGGGGAGCGAGGGAGATCTGACGTGGCTCGACAGGCAGTCCGTCGAGTCGCTGGACCTCACCGCCTTGCGTGACGAGGCCACGGAGCTCCGGGTCCCGTCCCGGGTCCCGTCCCGAGATCCTTGCCCTAGCCGAGCCAGGCGCCGAGCCAGATCGAGGCAGTTGGCGGGCTTTGTGTCGTAGGTTGGCATGAAGCAAGTTACTCAGTTACTCAGTTGCTAGGAGGGGAACAGCTCGCGGCGGGCCAAGTCGTCTCCAGACTGCCCTTGGCCGCTGAGCATAAGGTTGGTTCTGGATTTGCGAACCCTGCGCAGCACAGGCCACCGGTGCCAATGTGTGCCAATCCAAAACTGGTAGGATGCTCGATGTGTAACTTATCCACTATTGGAGTCGGCAAGGTCAAAGCAGTTTGGGCAGGTGTTCAATCGAAAGCCCAGCCCCTCCACTCAGCCAGCCAGACAGAAGTTATTGATTTGTTTACATGTCCACGCCCGGTCACCAAGCGCTTCCTTTTAGCTGACAGCAAGTGATGGAAGCAACAGGCTCTTTGCGCTCAATGAGCTGGCAGGCATTGTGTCAAGTCGAGCATGCACAAACTGCTTTGACCTGTTTCAAGGCGCCGCTGCTTGATGCCCCGGTATCATCCTCAGACAACTCTATGCGGCCATTCAAATATGCTCGCCTATTCCTCGCTATTGGCTGTGGGTTGCCTTGCCAACTTCAGGACACGCTTGAGGCTCCTGCAAGGCCCGAGCGACCGCGTGACGGACGCTGCCTGGCACGAATCTGAGCCAGGCAGAGCATGACCGCGCCATGTGAGGCCTGCCGTGCACTGCGGCCGAAGGTTTGTCAGGTTTGGGCAAAGTTGTGGAGGTTCCGGGGTGGCCAGGACAGGTGTAAGGTTACAGCAAGTTTTTGGAGGTTTCAGGGTGAGCCAGGTGTAAGGTTCAAACAATGCTCTCGGAGGTTCCGGCCCAGATAGGCTCGGGGACTCGGGGTGGTCCAGGGCAGCTTTCAGGGTTCTGCAAGCCGCAAGTCCAGGGTTCCGCGGGGTTCCGCAGGCTTCTGCAAGGGCTCAGGGTCCGGGATGGCTCTGAGGTTGCGCAGAGGTTCGCGGGGGTTCCGCAATGTTTTGCGAGAGTTTTGCGAGGGCAAGTGCGCAAGTTTATAATTCTGCGAGGGCTCGGTGACAGATCCGCGAGGGCTCCGGGGTGGTCTGGGGCAGCTCTGAGGTAAGGTTTCGAAGGGTTTCGTGAGCATCGAAAAAGAGTGCCGCATGCTGTTGGGGATATCACCTGAGCTTGTTTGTAAGGCTTGCTTCTCAGCCGTACCCGATCGGCGCAGGCCGAGATAGACTTGCATGAGCTGCGGCGCCAAACGCTAGCAGCAGCTTTCTCAGAAAACGGGTGACATGGTGAGCGAGCTACTTCTGTAGCGTTGCCATCATTGTGGAAGGCAGAGCGGGTTTGTGATGACTTTCCTGTCCACGGCCCAGGCAGGAAGGGAACAGGTTTTGGGAGGGTGCCGTGCTCTCATTCCACATTGCAGGCTTTTCTAGCCATGTGTGGACCTACTACAAGGATTCCGGGGCCCTGGCCCATGAAGTCCGGGTAAAGGCAGAAGTGTGGAGTGCCACTGTGAGGCCTGGTCAGATGGCTTGTGCGTGTCGCTGCGGGGGCCTGCAAATCACAGCCCGATGCGAAAAGAGGTCAAGAGCTCTGAGGCAGAATCCCATGCACTGCATGTACTGCTGCTGCCCCCCTTGTGCCGTTCTCAGGTGGGGGCAGTTTGTTGGTCTAGATTCTGCTTGAGACGATAGGCTGAAGCAGACGCTGCAGCGGTCCATCCCGTTGACTGTCAGTGCCAGCCTCATTGCACCGCATGGAGAGCAGCTGGGTGCGAGCACGCTGTCAGTGCGCAATTTGCTTAGCATTAATCGCCATGCAAGGATTGCTTGAAATTGAGGGCATCCTTTGTTTTTGTCAGATATGAGGAGAATGAGGCAACTGACGCACATTCTTGCCAAGGCCTTTGCGGCGGTCGTTTGAGACTTGAAACTGCAAGAGCAGCCTGCACAGGCCTCAGCACAAACATGCCCGGAGGATGTAATGCGCAGCCAATCAGGCCACCGTGACAACATGCCAACGGCGAAACAACTCCCTTTCAACTGCACGACGCTCACTCTCAGGTGTTGCCACTGCGGCAGTGTGGCACAGTTGCAACTAGACCCATTTTTGAATTTTCTTGAAGAGATGCACATGCGTGATGTTTCGCAGTTGAGAGTGACTTCCTTTCGGCTTTGCCCCATTGGAAAAAGCACATGCAACCGCAGATGCAGGATTTTTGCTGTATGCTTCTTTGGTCTTGGACTCGTGATGTGGGCCCGCCCCTCAGAAGCCTATTTGTGAGGAATCCTTGAGCAATGCACAGGCTGCCATCCTTGTAGCGATCGGGGAGAAGTATCAGATAGCATTGCGCTCAGGATTCGAAGGACTTGTCTCTAGTAGTCTCTAGACCTCGCCAGGCGCAGGTCAAGGAGTACCCGAGTCCAGCGCTGAAGAAATGCAGCTCTATGCAGCTGTGGGGCTCCTGTGGGGCTCTATGGGGCTGAGTGAGGAATGGCGCTCGCCAAAATCTGCTGCTGCCTTTGCGTGTGGGCCTTGCAACTTGCAACTGCATGCAAGGTCTAGGCACTCGCCCAGGCGATGAATGTTCGGGTGGGCTTGCATGTGGATCGGGCACAAGGCTGGCACAAGGCTTGCCAAAAAAGAAGTCCCGCAACAGCTCTCCCAGGCTTCTTCAAGCCAGGAAGAGCTGTGGCGGCAATGATCGAGATGCAGCCAGGACGAACTGCTCGGACGAAATGGTCAGACGGCTCGCGTCAAAGTATCAAGTGCCATTGTGACATCAATGACATCAAGAGGAACCCAAGTGGAAGCCGATCCCGGATCTTCGGATCTTTAAATTCGGGATCCTATCTCCGCGCGTGTGATCAATGAAATTGCCAGGAGCTCGCCGGACGCACGTCCAATGCATTTGAAAAGCTGCCGGGATGGATGGGTTTACATTGAAATCGCTACGCGATCCGCCGACGCCAGTGGACGTCATGTTGGGCTGTCATGTGGGGCTCTGAACGAGAATGCAAACAACGCCGCTCTGACTTCGGCAGAACCACCCCCCGAAAGGGTATAAAAGCAAGGCCCCATTTTTTTGGTAAGTACAACAAGCCTTCTTGGCACTTTCCTGTTTTTCATGTCCCTGTGCTGAGGATGCTGGAAATGCAAGGGATGCAACCGCACAACTTACAGGAACAGACCCAATCTTCGCGCTCAAGATTTTTAAGACTTTCAGATACGCAACATTGACCAAGCACAGAAAATACCAGAGATGTGGGGAATGCTGGGAATGCAGCGGTTTTTCGATATTTCCCAAAAGCAATCATCAAAAACCGATACTAGCAACCCCCCCTGAAATACCATAAAAATAGACTTCCAAAAGCACGATGATGCAGGGGATGTTTCGCAGTAACTGCTCCGTACAGGTGGGGAATTGCAAAAAACTCTCGTTTTTGCAAATTTTGACAGTTCCTCGAAGTATCACTGCACTTGGCCCCACCCAAACCCCTAACAGGCCAATTCCAACATCGCCTGAAGCAGCAAAACACCACTAGTATTTGCAAAAAAGGAAAACAATTTCATGGCAACAAGGCAATCCTGATGATGCTGGGGATGCAGATCCTGCGCGAGGCGAAACGCAGATTTTTAGCACAGCATGCCCAAAAAATAGCAGTCCCAAAAGCCTTCGGCTTTGATAAGAGATTTTGAAGGAAGACCAAGTTGCGGACTGCCATCTACACGCTCGACTGGCGTCGGCGGATTTTGGGATATGTGTTGTTTGGTTAACTATTCTTGAACAATGTGTGTGGCAGAAGGCTTCTCGAAAGTGACCCGTGCAGTCGGCTTAGCTTCAAGCCGCGGTGCGCAAATGACTGCGGTATGGTAGCTTCTTGATGCACGGCCTGATCCATGTCGTGCTGAACCCAGCCCGTGTTGTCCGTTGCCATTTTCCCTCGCAACCCATGCACTGCATGCACTGCATGCACTGCATGCACTGCATGCACTGCATGCACTGCATGCACTGGAGGTTTGGAAGGAATTCATCGTGCATCAGTATGGTCACCGCTTGTGGGACCAGGCGAGAACGCGAGAATGCGCTGCATGTCAAGATGGGCCGAAGTTGATTTAAAGAATTCCAGGCAACCGAGACGTGTGAAGCACATCAGACTGCATCCAACTCCTTTGTGCTGCTGAAATTTGCATTTTTACGCACGTCTTTACGTCTTTGGAAGGTTCAATGCATCTGACTGGCAGGCCTTGCATGCAGAAGCCTTGGATGAGTCCCTCATCCTCCAGCTCAAGCAGCATGAGGACACAATGGATGCGGAAGACTTACGGTAGAATGTGTCCCCAAGGATGAGATGACCCTCGGGATGATGCGGGCATGCTTGTCAGCGGCCGCTGCGAATCTGGAAGATTGCTTCTGCCTCGATATCCTTTCACAAGGTGAGCACTGCTTAGCACTGCTTGTTCTTGTTCTTCACAGTTCTTAGGTCTAGAGGCATTTGGTGCCTTCTTCGTGAGATTCGCCGTGCGGCAAGGCCATTGCCACGTCTTGCCACGTCTTGCACTTGCCACATACTGAAAGGGTCAGGTACAAGGGCGGAGACAAGACACCTAAACATGGGAATCCAGTTTCCTCGGAATTGAAATCTCCAGGCTGGCACCAGTGGCTGCAAGGCATGGGCAATTCCTGGCAGGAAGCTGCTTTTCCAACGGCATGTACTGCTTTCGCATGTGACATATGCCAGGAGTTCATTCAGAACCTCAACGATATGCACCACGTATGGGCCTCAACACGCCCAGGTCGTTCGTTGGGCACGGAATGGCAGGTCCTGGAGCGAGATTTCCGGTCGGCGCGCTTTCCAGTGTTTAAAAGCCGCAGTGGACCCAGTACCCAGTCAGTCGGAGTTGGTGTGAGCTGTGAGCCATGCACTCACTTTGTCCCGATTGAGACCGAAGCGTCGAAGCGCTCTCGACTCCGAGGTCAAGCCGGGACAAGTTTCTACCTTACCTACAGTCCGGCACTCCCGGACTCCCGGACTCCCGGCACACGGGACGCGAGCTCGAACGCGCCTAGGTTCTAGCCGCTTCTTCCCAAGCTTGGCCAAAGGCGTGCGAGCTGCTTGAGCTCTTCGAGCTCTTTGAGTTCTTTGAGTTCTTGGAGTTTGAGCTGTCAGGTATTGTGACGGAGATCTCGGACGCGCTTTTCGATGTGAGCCATGGCTCAGGCAAAGGCAGATTTGCTCATCGCTCGCACAGGTTCATTTGGAGTTGACAGAGATCAGCGACTTTCTCAGAGCTGAGTTTTCACTTTCCGCGCGCATCCATCACGTACAAGGTCGCGAGAAGACGGAAGTTACCTGGAAGGTGCGGGGGAAGTGGGGTGTGGCAGATTCTTGCATTGCCTTGCGACGAGACTCTGAGACTGAGGTGACCGAGAGACCATCACAACGATGTGGGCCGCCCAGATTTTTGCCGCAAGGCAAGCCAGCACCGCAACTGCCAGGTTCGCCGGATGCTGGCAAGGCGAGGGATGTCGAATGCATCCGGATGCAGATGCGCCAGCTGGAGGCTGAATTCAGCTCCTGGAGCTTCTTCGACTTTCACAAGGAGTGCCCGTCGGCTTCGTCGGCACGGGTTGGTCCGTTGGTCCGTTCCGGGTCTCGCTCCCGCCGAGTTTATCGCCGTTGCCTTTCAGGTCATGGCCTCCCTTTGCAAGGCGCGAGGGGCGCGAGGCGTTCCATGCGTGCAACTGCATCGGAGCTGCCAGACCTTCGACTGCTGCGAGCAGGAGATTCGGGGCATGCAAAACAAGATGTGAGCATGTTGATCCAGTGGATATATATATATATATGCATTAGCCATCTCAAGTTTAAGAGTCAAGTGCCTCAAGAGCTTGCGTGCTTGAGGATTGCAAACCTTCGGCTGAAGTAGTGACAGCCGACAACTGCAGCGAGGTGGCGTTAAAGTTTTAGTTTTGGACGCATGTCGGATGTGCGGTTTGGCACTGCACGCCTTGCCTGGGTACAGGGAACAAACATGGAATCGCCTGAGACCGATAGGGACGAAATGAGGCGTGGGTTTTGCAGCTTGGAATTCTTGAGAGTGACTTCGCCCGCGGAATGCTTCAAGGAATCAATACAGTACCTCAGTCAGTCCAGTCCTTGGAACATGACTGAAAGGATTGAGCGCAGCCCTTCGATTCCAGGCACAATTTCAATGGATGACTCTTTGGCATCCCAGGCCAAAGAGGCTCAAAGCCACACAAACGTCTCTGTCGTTTGCTGAGGGGGAGTCCTTACCGACCTTGGAGAAGATCCGTGCGAGCCTCGTTCCATTCCAAGTCGCTCGCGCGAGTCCCTCACCAGGCGCCAAGTTCGGCACAGAAGAGCATCTATTGATGTGGCTGGGCTGCTGCCCTACTTGCCTCGTAAAGCGAATCGTCCCTTCGGTCCCTTCGGTCCCTTCGGTCCCTTTGGTCCCTAGGTGGGCAAAGCCCTGATACCCGCCTGGAGCTGGCGCCGGCCTCCCAAAAGCAAAGGCAACTCGCAGCGGCGCCTCTCCAGGCTCGCACGCTGCACCGCGAAGTGCGTGCTGGCCGCGCCCTGCTCCCAAGCCGCTCATCCCACACTTTGTACACTTCGTACACTTTGGCTTCAGGTTGCGAGCAGCTGGTACGAGATCGGCATCACCCAGTACAGCAGCCAGCGCCTGAAACACACGTTGGCTCTCGGAACGCGGCACACCCAGGAGTTCCGCTTTGGCTTGACTTGATCATTCTCGTTAGGCTTTTGGGACCCTGAGCGGCGAGACGACTTCTATCACTGGTCCGAGAGCTGCCAAGAAGAAGCCACGCGCTCGACAGCCGCGACGAGTTGGAGAGTCGGAGAGTCGGAGAGTCGGAGAGCGAGGAATTTGGCCTTCAGGCGCCGCTCCAAAACCACCAGGGCCACTCAATCATGATGTACTTCCAGGCAGTGAAATTCGGTTTTGCTCCAAGCTCCAAGCATCTTATCCGAGGCCATCACTCACCGAGCTCCTCTACGGTTTGCCGACTCCTCACCTGGCGTGTGAAGCTCTCGCTAAGCTGAGCCCCGAGGTCAGCCATGCTTGGGGTAGCCCACAGGACTTGCGGACTCCGTGCGGAGTCAAGAGTCGAACCTTGCGAGAATGCATTCAAGCGGTATTTGCATGGCTTTGAGCTGGTTGAGGTCTGGACATGTTGTTGGGGTGGGGGTTTTCCGTGTTTTGCAGACCATTGACCTTTAGGCAGTCACTTTGTATCACGAAACATTACCTCAAGGGCCCTTTTTCTACCATAGAGTTC